ACAACCGATAACGCATTAATTTGGTGACAGCCACTGGTCAGCGCATACCCGTCCGTGGAGAGAAGGAGATGGAGTTGAAGCTAGGCAACATGAATTACCTGCATAATGTCATCGTGGCTGATATAATGGACGACTGCATCCTGGGCCTAGACTTTATGAGGAAGAATTGTTGTGAGATCGACGTTAAGCAAGGTGTTTTGAAATGTGGACAAGAAGAACTTTTCATGGAAGGGGGGCGTTACCAGGGAATGTGTACAGCCTTAAGAAGATTGTTCTTCCGCCAAGATCGGAAACGATTGTGCCGGTTAGTCTTCCTCGGAGTCCTGGGCAAGCTCAACGTTGTGTACTCGTGGAAAGGGTAGACAATGAACTTCCATGGAAAGTGGCTCGAACCTTGGTCAGAACCACTGACATCTCAGGAGTACGTGTGTTGAACCTTTGTGATCAGGATCAGATTATAGAAAAAGGCACATTGGTTGGTATTAGTGAGGAAGTGGATTGGTTGCGTCGGTGCGAATATCTATCGACCGGGACCCCTAGCAAGGATGGACAAACGAGAGTGACCACACTTTTAGAAGACTGTCGCAGCGTTCTCTCCCCGAATGAAATGGTCAAGGCGAAGAAGTTGTTACTCAAGTACGCCAATGTTTTCTCGTCAAACGAAGCTGACATAGGAAAGACTGGCTTAGTTCAACACAAAATAAACACAGGACAAGAATTGCCTATTCGTCAGCGGCCAAGAAGATTGCCTGTAGCACGTGAAAAGGAAGTGGAAACCATGATTGAGGGAATGGTGAAGGATGGTGTTATTGAACCTTCATCTAGTCCATGGTGTTCACCTGTGGTGCTGGTAAAGAAGAAGGACGGCAGCATGCGGTTTTGTGTTGACTACCGCCGCCTGAACGACGTTACGAAGAAGGACAGCTATCCCTTGCCTAGAATTGATGACACGCTGGACATGCTCACAGGCGTAAAGTGGTTTAGTACGCTGGACCTGAAAAGTGGCTACTGGCAGGTTGAAATTGACCCTAAGGACAAGGAGAAAACTGCATTTTCCACAGGAAAGGGTCTGTGGCAATTTAAAGTTATGCCGTTTGGATTGTGCAATGCTCCAGCAACGTTTGAAAGATTGATGGAACTTGTACTTACCGGGCTAATTGGAGATGCCTGTCTGGTCTATTTGGATGACATCATCATCGTAGGTCGTACGTTTGAGGAACACCTTCAAAACCTGGAACGCGTGCTCATGAAGATCCAGAGTGCCAACCTCAAGTTGAGTCCAAAGAAGTGCTCACTATTCAAACGGCAAGTTAGTTTTTTGGGGTATGTAGTGTCGGAAGAAGGTATCCGCACGGATCCAGAGAAAATTGCTGCTGTCAAGGAGTGGCCGGTCCCAAAAGACAAGACACAGGTTAGAGCATTTTTGGGTTTGTGCTCTTATTATCGGCGATTTGTGAAGAACTTTGCAGATATAGCCAAACCTCTGCACAAGCTAACCGAGGAGAAGCGACAATTCTGCTGGGATGAAAGTTGCGATATTGCATTCCAGGAGCTCAAGAACCGCCTGTGCAAAACACCTATTTTGGGGTACCCTGATGCGGGCAAGGAATTCATAGTTGACACAGACGCAAGTGATATAGGACTTGGCGGTGTGTTGTCTCAACGGAATGGTGATCAAGAGATTGTGATAGCGTACTTCAGCAAGTCGTTGTCAAAGCCGGAAAGGAACTATTGTGTCACAAGACGGGAATTGCTTGCTGTGGTAAAGTCCTTGCAGCATTTTAGCAAATATCTTCTAGGGCGGAAATTCCACTTACGAACTGACCATGCTGCACTGAAATGGCTATTGCAGTTCAAAAATCCTGAAGGACAAGTTGCGAGATGGATAGAACTACTGCAGGAATACGACTTTGTGATCGAACATCGCAGCGGGAAATCTCATGGCAATGCAGATGCATTGTCAAGAAGACCTTGCCCTGAAGATTGCAAGCATTGTACTAGGCAAGAGGGTAAGGAAGTGGTATCTGTGAGAATGCTCAGGACAGACCAGCTCAGCAATGAGTGGAAGGACAGCCTACAACATGCACAGCAGGAAGATTCGGACATTAAGCCGATTCTGGAATGGATGAAGGCCAGTGCTCCTAAGCCCAAGTGGAGCGACGTCTCAGCAATGAGTTCGACCACGAAAAGCTATTGGGCCCAATGGGACAGCTTGCTGATTCAGGATGGAGTCCTGTGCCGTAAATGGGAAAATGGTCGGGGAGACAGGTGTCATTTGCAAATGGTTAGGCTAAAGTGCCGGATATTCTACAGCTGTACCATAGTGGTTGTTCAGGAGGCCACCTGGGAGTTAAACGAACTCTCCTGAAGATCCGAGAACGGTTTTACTGGGTCCACTGTCGTGACGATGTCGAGGACTGGTGCCGCAAATGTAAAAGTTGTGCGGCTGTAAAGGGACCTCAAATTCGTAGTAGAGGCGCATTGAAATTGTACAATGTTGGTGCACCATGGGAGAGGATAGCCATTAACGTTGCGGGGCCGTTTCCAGAAACTGAAAGTGGTAACAAGTATTTCATGGTAGTGATGGATTACTTCACTAAGTGGCCAGAAGTCTTCGCCATTCCAAATCAAGAAGCTTCAACAGTTGCAGATAAACTAGTTCATGAAGTCTTCTGTCGTTTTGGAGTACCTTTAGAGATTCACAGCGATCAAGGAAGGAATTTTGAGTCTCAAATATTCCAGGAAACTTGCCGAGTTATGGGTACTCAGAAAACACGAACAACTTCTTACCACCCACAATCTGATGGAATGGTAGAAAGATTTAATCAGACATTGGAGAGGTACCTAGCAAAAGTTGTGGAAAAACGGCAACGAGACTGGGACAGGCACATACAACCGTTTTTGTTGTCATATCGAAGCGCTGTTCACGAAAGTACATCAGTGACACCAGCTTACGTAAACTTTGGGAGAGAATTGCGGCTGCCTGCAGACCTGATCACCGGAATACCACCTGATGCCCCACGCAGTATAACCGATTATGCAAATGACTTGCGGAACAAAATGAATGACATTTATGAGCACGTCAGACAGACGGGCCAGCAAACGTCTGAGAAGATGAAAACACGGTATGACCGCAAAATGAACAACAAGGGCTTTGATGAAGGTTCACTAGTGTGGTTACACAATCCAGTTCGCAGCAAAGGGAAATCTCCTAAGCTTCAAGCTAAATGGGACGGACCGTACCGGATTGTGACAAGGATCAATGATGTAACCTACCGGATACAGAAAGGTGCCAGAGGTACTCCTAAGATTGTCCATGTGGATCGACTGGCGCGTTATTATGGGGCCAATAATGCTCGGGACGAGCATGTCTTAGGAGGGGGCAGTGTTACGCGCCACTATTAATGTCTTGTACATGGCAACACTAGTTACACTAGCGCCCCCTAGTGTCGAGTAAATGAAAGTATTGCGCGCCACTATTAATGTCTTGTACATGGCAACACTAGTCACACTAGCGCCCTCTAGTGTCGAGTAGCAGAACTAGGAGAGTCGAGATCCTTCCAGAAATTTCGGGACCGATATGTACTCGAACATTCTAGATGTCGCTACAGTAGAAGGTTCTGGAAACTATCTGAGGCCCTATATAAGACCGGTATAGACCACGACCGGGGCAGTATTGAATTGGCGATACAAGAGAATACTTCGTAGCGAAATAACGGCGAACTGTGTTTTATTATTAGTGTGATTTTAGATTGTAATTAGTGTTGTGTAATTAAAGTGTCAATTTTGGTAATTCAATCGGCAGTTTTTAATTGTCTCGAACCCCAAGCTCGTAACAGTATGTTATTCACTACCATTTTATTCATATCTTTTAAACCAATCTTTACATAACACTAATATTACTTATTAATTAAGATTTACGCGTTTATTAATACACTTCTACGGAAAATGTGGTAAACAGTTTATAAGGTTTGGGTACCGTAACTTTTTATTAACATTAAAGTGACAAACGATATTTTTATTTATGCATTTATTACACACTGCTGAATATAGGCCTTCTCCATAGATTGCCTCATGTTTGCTATAGTTGCCACGCTTGGCAGGCGGGTTTTGGCAATCGCAGTTTTTTATTATTTTGAGTTTTTTTTTTTATAGGAGAGGGGGCAAACGAGCATGCGGCTCACCTCATGGTAAGTGACTACCGCCTCCCATAAACAACTGCAACACCAGGGGAACCAGGGGAATTGCAGATGCGTTGCCGGCCTTTTTAAAAGGAGTAGGCTCTTTTCTTGAAGGTCCCTAAGTCGTATCGGTCCGGAAAAATCGCTGGTGGTAATCGAGTCCACAAGGAAGTTGTGCGAGGAAGAAAACTTTTTCTAAATCGCACAGTGGTGGACCGCCAATCATCCAGATGATATAGACGGTATCGCGAGTTTTGTCGCGATGTACGTTAGTGAAATTAAATTATTATTAATTAATTTTATTATAATTAAATTACTATTAATTAAATTGAAAAAAATCTAGAGGATGCTACTGCCTGTCTCCTGTTTCATGGGCTCTCTTAAGTTTTAAGCTGGAACACAGGATAGACATTGGTTAGCTGCTGCTTGGCAGCAGAAACCTTCAAGAGGATAGTGTCTCCTCCAATGGACAGAAAAGTAAACATTTTAAATTATGTGAAGCCATGGCAACTCAGTGATCGCGGTAAATTTAATAGCACGCTAGGACACCGAGTTTTATGCCTGATTGCCGACGGCACCAATGAAATTGTTATTCGCAATTTTAAGGAGTGATTTACAATGTGCTTGGCGGTGAAGAAAACCAATACGAGGACACCCTGCATGTTCGAGGAACAAAATATTTCGAGATGTGTTTTAGACGTCGTCTTTATGTCTGGTTATAAGATGCCAGCGGTCTAAAATAAACTGATTGAGTTTCGAACATCACGTTATGTTTAAAAAGGAAAGGACTGAATTACTAGTTAGTAAGTTTAATGAATTCTGGCTTCGGTTAAAAAACTAAAATCTAAGTCTGCTTATCCTCAGCAAGCAGTCGTTGGTCAAACAATACAGAATCTAACAAATGCTGTCAACATAGATACCAGTAGCTTGGAACAACAGGTTAGCTGATGGCAGAATAGTTTCTTTATTAATATAACAATTGTAGTGATGACAGGTAGGTACAGATTGTTATACAATTGCTTCAAACGAAACTGTGCAATAATTTAGAAGCGTGATTGTCTCAATTGTGCTCGGTGCTCGATCACCAGAGACGCGACATGATCTATGTACGAGTAGCATGTTTGACTATGTATGCTTGGACTATCTCACCTCTTCTTATGTAACACATATTTGTGTATTATGTTCAGAAAATATATTTGGTTTGATACAGGTGTTGAGCGATTGTTCGTGTTGGTATATAAGATGACGCGCGACTTAATAGTCAAAGTGACTACTGAGTAGTGGACAAAATGATCGCATGGGAATAGAAGCCAATAAGAAAAAGAACGACATTTTTTGATTTGCAGACTCTGAAATGTAGTAGAGATTTTGAATACTAATTTGTATTTAAAATAATTTTCTACTGACATCAAAAAGGAGACGGTACTCAGTTCGACTGTATGTTTTTTTTATGTGTGTTACCTTATAACTTTTTTCTGGTTGAACTGATTTAGATGATTATTTTTTTACTTAAAATCTGGTGCTTCTCATGTGGTCCCATATAAATTTGATCAAGATCTGACCAGTAGTTTTTGAGTTATTCTTAATAATGCGTATTTAGTTGACTTCGACTACATTGATATTCTAATTTTATTTACTCTATGTCGGCTCCGAACTTACTTCCGATTTTATTGTAGTGTTACTGTCGCACTAAGAAACGTTTAACGGTTACTTAAGGTGCTCCTTAGTATACCTAGTCAGGTCATAAGTATTGTCACACAGTAAAAACTTTTCTTTTAAAAGGCTGGCCACAAAAAAGTTTATTGAATTCGAATTTCGAATTGTTCATGAAAATAAAACTGTATACTTTTTAGAATTTTAATCATTTTTAAATATGGAGTGGACGCTTAAAGAAGACCGTGTTGCAGTTATTGCGTTGAATCGTTGCGGTTACGCGCCAATTCAAATTTTTGACATACTGAAAAATTTGAATATAACCAATAGATTCGTTTATTACCATCAAAAGATACAATGAAGACTCTAGTGTAGATGACAGGTCAAGAAGTGGCCTGTGGTGGCACGAAGACTGGCCCTCCTCCAGTCCAGATTTGAATCCGTTAGATTACAAGATATGGCAACACTTGGAGGAAAAGGCGTGCTCAAAGCCTCATCCCAATTTGGAGTCACTCAAGACATCCTTGATTAAGGCAGCCGCCGATATTGACATGGACCTCGTTCGTGCTGCGATAGACGACTGGCCGCGCAGATTGAAGGCCTGTATTCAAAATCACGGAGGTCATTTTGAATAAACTTTAGTGTCATAAGAATCTATGTTTTGTTAAGTTCATTTTGGTATATAAATGGTTACATAATTAATAAACTTGTTTCAATTATTTTATATTAAACATGTGACAGAATGTATGACCTGACTAGGTATATTAAGGCGTCTCCCACACAGAAGCGGCTTGCGATGGCGGCCGCGGTGGTGGTCAGTTGTATTCGCTTGCAATGTAAATGAGTCTGCAAAACTGCAAACCCGTGCGGTCATGTCGCGATCTGCGAGCGGCTGGCCGCGGCCGCATGCTCCGCCCCTTCCGCCAACGCGTGTGTGTTAGCGAGTACGCGGTCAGTCGGTGGCCGCAGCGCGGTCACTCACTTGCAAATTTTTACAACAGGCCGCGTGTAACGCGTAAAAAATGGTGCTAAATTCAGAGATTATAATAGAAACAGAGCAAAATTATCTAGTACTTTATGATAATTCGCATCGTGATTACAAAAACTTTACGATTAAAAACAAAATATATGATAATATTGTTGAATAATAAGACTTCATCACGGTTAGCCATGTTTACTGACGTTTAATCGTAGCACAGACATCACAGAGAATGGCGCGTCAGGATGCCGCTGTGACTGCGGTGGTGTTTTGTGGTAGCGGCTGGAGCCGCGGCTCGCGGTTAGCCGTCACCGCAAGCCGCTTGTGTGTGGGAGACGCTTTAAAAAAGTTTACTATCAGAGTCGGTTAACGGTTCATTAGCGTTCCTTAATAATAATTCAAGTTAAGAACAACAAAAACTACTTAACGTTCTAATGATTGATTTGACATTTACGTTTGAGGTTATATTGATTAGAGATGTATGTATGATATATTTTCACTATTGATATCGCGTTAGTTACTTTTTAATATAAAATAAAATGTCTGATTTAGTAGAGTGTATTGAGTTTGTGGATTATGCTAGACGGTATAGGGAAGTGGATCACTTTACAAAATAATCTGTTAAAGAATTCCATGCACGATATAGATTTACACTTGAAACTGTAAAAACTGTACTATTGCCTATGCAGACCGACCTAGACATATTATAAATATCATTATTTTAATTATTTAATTTAATTATATGTATTTGATTTATACTTATGAGTGTAACACGATCTAGTACATCAAACTCTCTATAATCAATAAAGATTCAAAAATAAGACAGTAAAAACGTTTTAATATTAAAATAATATAAAAGTGTTTTAATATTTGCATAATATCCATCTTTTTTCTTATTTACTAACTGTATGATCCTCATAACAGCCTAAGTATGTAGTCTGTGGATCTATGCACTGGATAGGTGGTCTTGATCACTGCTGAATAATTTTGACCAATTAGGTCTGTAATAGGTGCATATAAATAAAAAGATTTCACTATAAAGCTATTAAATAATTTTGTGTTATAGAATAAATAATACCTGTGCTATTTTGTTTTTACTCAATTCGAAGGCAGATTTCAGGTTTTTTTCTGAACTGGAAATGTTGTGGTTTCTTCAAATTCGATTTTTTCTTTGTTCAAAACATCTGAAAATGAAAAAAGACTAGATATGTAAGTAGCAACATATTGGTGAATGAAACATATATCATCATACATGATATGATGTGTTAATCTTAAATTACATACCTAAGGCGTAAATAGAGACATAGAAAACTAAAAATAATGATAGTACTTATAATATTCTATGAATAGAGAAGTGTTAGTTTCACTGGCACTATTTTCTATTGAAAATTCAGTTCTTGACTGTCATCTATGGTATTTAAAATGTTACCATCACTATCAGTTTAGTGCAGGATGGTCGGCGGTGTGTTCCCCCCGTCATCAAGAGTCGAGTTGGACGCAAAAAGGGAGCCTAAAAGTTCGGCTTTCTCTTTTGCGGCGTGGGCTAGTGAGTCATTCTCCCTGTGCAGAGATTGTAGTGATGGCTTACAGAAATTCCCTTGGACAGCCTTGGTGAGAGACCAGAATGCACGGGTTTCCGAAGGAAGGCGAACTAGTTTTTTCACCAGTTCTAATTATGTGCTCTGACTTTGCCTTCACAATAATTCTTTTGAAGGACCTGGAGGCGAAGTTCGAATTTCATCCCGAGCCGCCGAAGCCTCAACCCAGGCTTGATAACACTCCTGCTTACTGCGTAATGCAGTCTTACAGGAGCGACCAAATCAAGGCTGAGATCTGCCTCCGATGGGTACCACAGATAATGGAATAATTAGTTCCATTTTCTGTAGCACCACATTAGTGACAGAGTCAAAAACAGCGCTAGGATCATCCGGCGAGAAGCAAACCTGCCCCCATGGGTAGGATGCAAAGAAAGACCGCATTCCGTCCCAATCCGCCGACCTATAATGCCAAACATGGAGGCAACCTGCAGAAAGCAACAGCGAGGAGAGCGTGAGTGGCACCACACTCCGGATCAGACAATGCTCCGAAGAGCCGAGAGGGGCATCGACGGAAACCTGATATCTGTCCGGATGAAAGGTCAGCAGGAGGTCCAACAGGGAAGGTGTATGATCCTCCACATCTGGAATCCGCGTAGGCGAAGTAACCAGTTGTGTCAGACCATATGCCAAGGCAAAGTCATAAACAGATCTCCCCGCATGATCGGTTAAACGTGAACCGAGCCATTCGGCATGGTGGGCGTTAAAATCGCCAAGGATCACGATCTCTGCGGATGGGATCTGTTGTAGCAAGAAATATGTAGCCATTTGGACGTGGTCGATGAGTCGGTCTGTATCGGCATTACCGTTTTGAGACCTGCCGAGTCGTCGAGAACAGATATCCTCTCTGACGTATACGCAAACTCCAGCCCGGGGCACAAAAATGTGTTCTAATTTGTACCCCGGGTAAGACAGGTACGAAGTATCAGCCGGAGAGGACACCTGCGTCTCGGTTAAAAAGAACAAGGCCGGCTTCAACTTCTCTAGATGGTAGTGGACAGCGTTAAGTTTCGCGTCCCGTGTGAGGGATTCTCCATTACCAGGGGTGCTGGTACCCTCATGGGGTATTCCTTTCTTTTTAAATTCCGCTACTATGTTATTGAGGGGGGGGAGGGGTTGGGCATCCGGCCACCTGCACTAACCAAGCGAAACGCAGAAGCATAACTTCTACTTTACGTTGGTATTCTGTGAGGTCGTGGTACTGCCCCGGTTCGAGCAGGCCCATCCATGCTATAGCAGAAGCTGTAGCGTGGCTCTACCACTGTTGAAACTTGTTTTTTTAAATGGTGAATCCCACCATCATCCTTCACAGTTAGCCACCGTGAGCATATCTTTGTTACAGAGAGCACGAGGGATCTGTGATAGCAAACACCTGGCCTCCGAGCTTCAGCACGTCAAGCAGCTTCTGTAGGACAACGAGCTCGGGTCCCGCGACTATGTCACAGTGACCGAGTGAAGTCAGCCACAGTCGAGCGTGTGCCTGATTAGTCAGTTCTTAGCATCCGTCACGTTCAATATTCCTCTGTCAGATTCAGAAGTGTACAAGCTTGATTGTGAATGTGGTCTCATATATAGGGCAAACAAAGCGATCCATCAAAACCCGCGTAAATGAACATATAGCTGACGTAAAAACTAACGTTCCGGGTAGAAATTTGCCACAGGTGTGTGACAATGTCTCCTTGGCATTGCTATAAGATTTTCCAGGCTTTTCTCGGGGGTTATGAAGGTTTTTTCCTTTTTTTATATAGGATAGGGTGACAAACGAGCACACAGTCCACCTGATGGTAAGTGGTTGCTGTGGCCCATAGACATCTACATCTATCTTCGTTTGCGAATCAAACTGCAGATGCGTTGTCACCCGTGATGGCTAAGCTGGAATGCATCTTTTCCAGTAAAGAGGGTCTCCGGTTCTCTACACTCACCATACGAAACACAGCAGTCTTAAGATGCTATTTTACGCTGGTATTCTGTGAGAGCGTGGTCCTTCCCCGGTCGAGCCGACCCATTCGTGCTACAGCTATGTTACTAATATAGCTGCAGCATGGCTCTACTACGTACAGCCTTTCAGTCCTTTCTTTCTTTCTTTCAAATTATATTCTAATTAAAATTACCCATAACGTAATTTACATACAGTAATTTTTCAGATTTACATATTACTATATGTAAATTTAATTTTTACTTAGCCTTCTGATCACATGGTTATTCAAATTTCTATAATGGAGGAAAAAATCACGATATTGTTCTGGTGTTATTATTGGGTTATGGGTTTCTAATTCAAAACAACACTTTATAATCAATGCAAAACTTATTTGCTATCTTCGACAAGATACAGACATTGCAAGAATACTCAGTTACAATAACATACGTAGAAAGTGCTGACACCTAGTATGATATATTTCAAACTAAATTTTCTAATCTAATACTCCCACTAAAATTTAACTCTATCTATAAAGTACATATAAACTAACAAAACTTAAACAACATCATATAAAATCTGATCTCTTAGATATGCGAAAGTTTGAGTGCGTAATGCTTTACTTAAAATATCTGCTAATTGACAATTGCTTGGATCATAGGTGATTAATTTTAACTACACACAATTCTACCTTTTCCCTTATAAAGTTATATTTAACTATTTGTTTTGCACTTTTATGATAAACAGGATTGTTAATTAATCTGATTGCACTCTGATTATCTATATTTAATGTGATACAATCATAACTTTCACCTAAATCTGACAATAGCTGCTGCAACCACAATATCTCCTCAGCACATTCGCTAGCAGCTACAAATTCAGCCTCTGTGGTGGAGAGAGCAGTGGTCTTCTGTTTCTGACTGGACCATGTGATTGGTCCTCCATTCATCATAAACAAATATCCTGTAGTGTATTTACGTATATTAATATCACTTGCAAAATTTAAATCTGAATATCGAACTAGATCATTGCTTTCCCCACTATACCTTATACACAAATTTTTACTTTTTATTCAATATTTAATTACACGTTTAACAGCATTTACAAGTCCACAACTTGGATTGTTTAAAATGTCTGGCGTTGAGACAGAACTCAAAAACAGTAAACAACCTATAGCTTCTCTATAAGGAAAATCAATAACAATTTCATCAATATTCTTTGAAATAATAACATTGACATCTGCTGGAGTGTTGGCAGGATTTGCATCACTCATACACAACTTCTCAATAATTTGACTTACCTATTCCTGATGAATGTATATATTGTTATTCATACGTTCTATTTGCATGCCCACAAAATACTTGAACTCTAACTATTTGATTTTAAAAGTTGTTTTAAATATTCTATTATCTCTTTTATAAGCTGTTTCTTTGAAGATATTATAAGAGCATCATCAACATAAATTATTAGGAATACTTTAGTTCCATCAAAAAATCCTATGTAAATACAATTATCAGCCTGAGATTGAACATAACCATACTTAAGCAAAAACTCTGTAAATGTTTTGTTCCAGCATCTAGATTGCCTGTTTTAAATTATACAGTGATTCATTTAACTTTAACACAAAATCACCTTTAATTGACAAACCCTAAGGTATATTTATAAAAATATCCTCTTCGAGTTTTAGAAAAAGGTCTTTACATCAAACTGTTGAATTTTTAAGTTATACTTTGCAGCAACAAAAAGTATAATTCTTATAGAATCATAACGGATTGTTGGAGACAATATTTCTTGATGATCAATATACTTAATCTGATTAAACCCTCGTGCACATAAACGAGCCTTATAGCCTGCAATCTGATTATTCTCATTCTTCTTTATGGTGAAAACCCACATGGCAGTTAGGGTTGGTTGACCAGACCTTTCAACCGCAGTCCAGGTGACAATTCTTCTTTTATAGCTTTAGACCACTCAGCCTTTTATGGACTATTCAGTGCCTCTGCATATGTTTGAGGCAATGACAGCTCTACCAGATTTGCTTCATAATTTCTATTGATCTGTGGTCTCACGTTCATTGTATGTATTGTTGAATCTTCCAATTCTCGAGATGGTTCATAGTCTGGGTCATCACCGGTACAACTCAGCATGCTTTCTTC